CCCCACAGTCTGGGGGTGACCAGGCACCTCCAGCTTTGGTGAAGGGGATATTGTGATAAGAGGGGCCCCTTCCCATGGGGGTCCATCTTTCTCCATCTACAGACACAGAAACGAGCCGAGGAGCTTTCCTCTCAGAGGGGAATCACTCCCCCTTCCCACAGGGTTCAAGCTTCCAGCTTTGTATGTTCAGACATCTAGTTTCAGGCATTTGTATGTTCAGGATGAGGGACAGCAACACTTTCCCTGGTGCATGTGGACCTAGGTGGGTAACCCAGAACCAGCAGTGAGGAATCTCATGATGAGGGCTGGCAGCCTGCAGCCTTGATTGGTAAGAAGTCTGTGAAAGGCACACACTTGGGGTACAAAAACACTTTGGCAAAGAGAGGAGGGCAGATAGGAGATGTTTGAAGTAGATGATGCCCCTTCAGGATCAGAGAGAGGGGTGTGAGAAGAAAATTTCTCCTTGAGTTGCAGCCACCCATAGAAACTTGGATGAGAAGCAGTCTCAGGACTAGTTCTTGGGTGTGAATAAAGGCTGTAGTATGTGAGCTCATTGTGTCCCCATGGCCCCCAAGCTACAAATCTGTCCACGAAGACTTGCACCAGGGGACAGAGGTCCCAAAGGGGAGGGAGCTCATTAGATAATCAACTCCCAGATGCAGGAAGCAGAGTGTGACCGGGGACGACTCTCCTCCTTTACTAGAAGCCCAGGCCTGGATGAGGTGGTTTGAGCCCTGCACTGCTTACATCAGGCTGGTGGCATGTACTCTTTTTTTGTTTTGTTTTGGGGCCACACCCAGCACTGCTCAGGGCTTAACTCCTGATTCTTTGTTCATTCTTGGCAGGCTCAGGAACCAAATGGGACTTTGGGGCTAGAATCTGGGTTGGCCACATGCAAGGCAAACATCCTCCCCACTGTACCATCACTCCGGCCCCATGGGGGCATGGATTCTTACCCAGGAAACCCAGATCAATCACCTGAGGTCATGGCAATCCAGACAAAGGTGGGGGAAGATTCAAGGGTCCTGCTAATGATGAAGGTTCTCTGAGTAAATTGGGGAGAGGAAAAGGAAAATCAGAGATGTTAAAGAAATGTAAATATTTGAATCTGTCCTAGAGAAGATACTGCTAAAGGGGCCTTAGAAGTACTTTCCAGTAGAAATCGAAAGTGGATCAGACCTTCTACGTCGAATCTAACACAACCCATGAAACTTAGGCATACAAGTACACACTCATGGACAGGCATGGATGAAATGGCATGCTGCATGTCAGGAATGTTCAAGAAGTGTATACAGGCAACCAACTTGTTAGCCAAGCCTTCTTGCTATTATTATTATCACCTGATCACTTGATCACTTGACATCCCATTATTCATCGATTTGCTCGAGCGGGCACCAGTAATGTCTCCATTTGTCCCTGTCGTGTGCTAGTGTACCCAATGGCATCTGCTTGTTCTAAGGACATGAAGAGCCTCAAACCGATCGTTCAGGGACTTGATGAAGAAGTCTAACCATCTCATAGGTGGGCAGCCACGCAGTCTTTTGATGTCCCGTGGAATCCAGTCGGTAATGACTGTAGTCCAGCGGTCGTCTCCAAATCTCATTGTGTGTCCAGCCCATCTGATTTTCGATGCCTTGGCAAACAAGACAGTGTCCCTGATTCTTGACCGTCGACGGAGGTCAGAACTCCAGATTCTTTCTCTCACTTGAGTGAAGCGTGATACTCCAAGCATAGCTCTTTCGATTCCTCTTTGGGAGAACCGAAGTGTTCTCATCCTGTTTTTGTAGGGCCCAGTTCTCTGAGGCGTATGTTAATGCAGGAAGAACAGTGGAATCGAAGAGATGTGCCCAGAGCCGGAGGTTCTTTGTCCTCTTAGCTATTTCTTCAATGTTCTTGAAGGCGTTCTAAGCTGCTCTCTTCCTCCTGTGCAACTCAGGTGCCAGGTCATTCATCATGTTGACTTCTACAGGAGCCTTATACTTCTAAAAGGCCTCATACAGGTAAAGTTCTGTTGAGGCCATGACAACCACTCAATGATATAATGAACGTTGTCTTTGACTGGGGGGCTTCTGGGTCACACAGGACTGTGTGAAAGGGCACTGCTCACAGCCTGCAGAAGGGTCACGGCGCGCCCTTTAGGCTCAAAAGGTAAAAAGACCTTTAACCTCAAAAGGTCCGAAGCAAGTTCTCACACCGTAAGGTCATTTCAAAGGGAAAATTCAATCAACAGGACATATCAAGATCTGTTTAGTCATGGATTGAGAGTTCACTGAGAGATTAAAAAAAGATAAATAAAATGGCATTTCACTGAAGGGAAGAAATATTAGCTGTGGGAGTCCTCCGGGATCAGGACTGGATCGGGTTTTGTGTTTTCATTCATATTCAAGAAATAGAATATAAAAGGACTTGCCCTCCAGTCTGGTAAAATGTCAAGCGGTCAAACAGGAGAGAAGGTTCACAGGATGTCTGGGAAGAGATGCAAAAGCGCAACCATGAGGTGGTTTCTAAAATGACTTGGAGCGCTGAGGTCCAGGAATTCGTGTAAAGATGTCACGAGCTCAGCCGACTGCTGCTTGCACAGAGGGGGAAAATAATGAGCCAACGCCCTGTCCAGCCAACACTTGCCCCTGCCAGGACAAGCATCACAAACCAAAAGCAAGGAAGCGTTCCCTCCTGGGTAACAGACAGATTCAACGTGAAGACAGGAGTACCGTACGCCAGCTCATATGGGACTGACTGGGCAGGGCCAGGACATGGAAGTGGGAGGACTTGCAGAGGGAGCCAGTGCCCACACTTCCACTGCCTTTGAAGGCTTGAACACCCTTCGTCCAACTTTTGTCCCCTCTGTGCTACTGAGCCATTGCTTCCCCTGAGAACGCTAATGGCATTCCCTTTATTCAGACAAATACTCTAAAAAAACAAAACAAACACAAAAAACAAACACAAAAACTCACCCCCTGACACTGTGCCCATCAGTTTTTGTATCAATGAGGTAAGGAGGAAAAGTAACAGTTGGCTCAAAGGGGTGGGTCCTAGCACAGACAAAGGAGGGTGCCATTCCCAGGCTGCTGGCTGATGACCTAGACAATGAAACCCTCTGTTGCCTTGCCCATTCAAACATCACTGTCACAGTTGTCAAGGGTCCCTGCCTATCTCTCTCTTCATCGATCTGAGTTATGACCCGCTCTACCTACCTGTGCATCTATTCATCGCACTGGGGAAAGACAGAGGAGGTTGGAAGTTCTTACAGCAGCAACGGGACATAAGCAAGTCCAAGAAATTGAGTGAACAATACAGTGAATTAGATCATCATGTTTTCTCACAACTTTCAAAAGGGCTGAGACTAAAACTTGGTGATTCTAAGCACTACTACATAGAAATGGTAGTTGTGTAACATAATTATTGTAAATTATCACTAAAATGGCAACAAGATTTAAACATTTCAAATGGACATGTGGAACACCTTAAACTTATATAATGTTTTATGTCAAAGAAAGTTCAGCTTAAAGAGCTTTAAAAATATAGGTTATGGGGCAAGAGAGACAATACAGCAGGTAGGAAGCTTGCCTTACACACAGCTGAACTGGGTTTCATTCCCGGGAACAGCATGTGGACCCCCAAAACCCACAAGAAATGATCACTGAGCACAGAGTCAGGTATGAGCCCTGAGCACAGCTGTGTGACCCAAACAAATTCCACAAAGGAGAAAATTATTTAAAAAATAAAAAATTGTTTTGTATCTCTGTATTTGCTTATTATATCAGTATATGAAATGAATCACCTATCCTTTTACATATGAATTATAATTCATATATCATTCCAATGCATAGATGTATCATAAATCATTTCATTTTTGTTCTTCCTGACACTGTTCTTAAAGATTAGTTAGGTGTTATAGTTTTAGTTACAGTGCTTGGGAATTATTAGTTGCTGCTCACAATTATAGGATGTGTCTGAAAGCTATTTCTAGAGTCTGCTCCAAGGCAGAAAAATGAAAAAGCAACATGGTGGTCTGAGGACCACCTGTTTCTAAGTGATTACAATTTGATAATATGTAAAATAGAATACAAAATAATATTCATAGATCTATATATTGAACATGCATAGGATTATAATTGTATACAGTCATTTATATGATCACATATAATATGTAGAATTTATAATTATATTAATTGCATCATATATTTGTAATTGTACATGCAATCACTTATGATTATCTATGCATATCATTTATATGACACATAATAATCTATATTATAACCAGGAGATACATTTTTTTCATCAGTGATAACCAACTATAGGGTGTAGGCAAATAGAAAAGGAAAGATTTCTTACAAAAGTGTAATAAAAATTTCAGGTGGCACTTAAAATGCCCTAGTTCAGTTCAGTCCCACTCAACTCTGGAGAATGTGGCCCCCTGAGCTAAGATGATTAACACAACAGTTACTCAAATTGAACAGGAAAGACAGCACGAGAGACCCAACTCCAGACGAGTGCTTAGTCTTTCTGTGTGGAGCTGGGGAGTTGGAGAAAGATTTCCCTGCAAGCCCAAGGAAATGTCTCTATTGTTCAATTTGCTCCCATGCTCTGAGAGCCTCTGGCAAACATTAAGGGTTTGATCAATTATTATTACTCCTGTTGTAGTCATTACTGTAAGTCCAAATATACTTGAATCACTCTACTCATAACCAGAAAAAATGTTTCGTTTGCTGCTTCCAATAGCTTTTTAATGACAGCCCCTGTTTCTTCCCCTCATTAAAGCACTGCATCCATCCCGATGGCAACTCCTGCCGTATGCCAGCCGCAGCTTTGTCCACTGCCATCATTACCTTGTCTTTGGAGAATCTCACAATTCCCACCATGGACCTGTTAACTCCTCCGAGAGCTCAGCTAAGCCACCCGACTCCTTATCGGGAGCCCTTTTTATCTTTGCTCACACACCTGGGGTCCCCCATTGCTTTCCCTGCCCCCCCCGAAAGAACCACCAGGGGCCACGTTACTTGGCAAGCTCTCTCTTCTCGTCCTCGATGGCTCTGATGGCTTTCCTCTCCAAACTTCTGAGCGACGGTCGCAGACAGTAGAGCTTGACATCACACAGGCAGCAGGGGTAGAAATCGCACAGGCCACAGGCGCGCGATCTCTTCGAATAGCAGAGGCAGTAAGGATAGGGGTGCAGGTCACAGCAGCAATAGGGGTGCATGTACAAGTCACACAAGCACCGCGTGCTCAGTTCGTCGATGCATCGCAATTGCCTTAGTTCTCGGTCCACCTTCTTTATGTCCCTCCTAACACTGTCCAAAAGACAACTCAGTGCAGCCATTACAGTCACACCTTATTGTTTGTTTGAGTACCGTTAGGAATGGGTACTCAAGGGGAAAAAATTGTCCTAAGCTCTCCTCAGAAGTTCCTTTTAAAAATAAAGGAGACGCACATGGTTCCTTTACTTTAAAGCTTGGCTTCTGTGACCTCACCACCTTTAGAGTGTGTATGTCATAGTGTTCTGGTTACCATGTGAACGACACACAGCCATGGGTCTTCAGAGACTCTCCTTCGAGGTGGAGAGAGAGAGACTCAGAAACGCATGTGGAAAGGCCAGAGAGATAGGACAACAGGAGGGTGTTTACCTTGTCTGTGGCCAACCGGGGTTAGATCTCCGGCACCCCATAGGGTACCCCAAGCTCCACCTGGAGTGATTCCTGAGGGCAGAGCCAGAAGTAACCCTTGAGTATTGCTGGGTGTGGCACCCAAACAAAAAGCAAGACACAAAAGAAACATTCACAGGGAGATTTTTCTTTTTTTTATATCTGTGTGTGTGTGTGTGTGTGTTTGTTTAAAGAATCACCATGAGATACAGTTACAGACTTACAAACTTTCATGATTACATTTTAGTCATACAATGGTCGAGTACCCATCCCTCCACCAGTGTTCATTCTCCACAACCAATGTTCCCACTATCCCTCCCCCCTCCCTTCCCCCGCCCCCTGCCCTCCTTCTTCCCTCCTGCCTCTGTGGTAGGCACATTCCCTTTGACTCTCTCCTTTAGAGTGTTATGGTTTGGAATACAGGCAGTAAGTGGCCATCATGTTTGGTCCATAGTCTACTTTCACGGGAGATTTTTCACTCACCCTCATCTCCACAGCCCCTCAACTAGGAGCCCCACCCCACATCTCCACCCCACACCAGGAGCCCTACCTACTCTTCTAGGCTTGCATAAGGCTCACTGTTATTTTTTATTTTTATAAAATTGTTCAGAATAACTTATTACATTCAATATTCCAATACCAATCGCATCCCCATTATTTTGAATATTTTGAATTTTCCCAAGCACCACCCAAGCCCGCCCCAATTCCGTGAGGCTCACTCTGAGTGCCCTTGATCTGTGTATGCCCTGAGGTCTGGCCTGAGGGCTCGGATGAGTGGGTCCCAGATGGAAGGAGCCTCCCGTGACAGCTGTGCTCTTGGTCCCTTCCATCCTGTCCTGGAAGGGAGGCTGCGCCATGCTCTGCCACGGCTTCAGTCCTCTTGGGAGGCCCCCGGAAGCTTTCTCATGTCCTCACTAAGTCACTCTCAAGTCAGCCTATGTCGTTGATCTTTCAGGCACTGCATCTGAGTCCCACCATACTTGAAAAAGTTTTTATTATTACTTTTAGACAGGGTGGGGGTGGGGCTTGTGCCTCGCCTAACAGTGCTCAGGGCTTTCTCCTGGCTCCGTGCTCAGGGATTACTCCTAGCAGACCATCAGGGGTGCCGGGAATTGATCCCTGGCCAGTTGCGTGCAAGGCAACTGCCCTGCCTACTGTCCTGTCTCTCTTGGACTCTGTTCAGAGGAGGAAGGCCTCCTTTCCCCCCTGGGGGGCCTGGAAGAGACGCACCACTTTCTCTAGCTCGAGGAGAAACCTCTGAACTCACCTCCCCACACAGCCCATCCCTGAGCAAATGTCAGCAAAGGTTGACACAAGCCAGCCCTTAGGTTTCGACTCTTAAGTACACAGATTCAGGAATTTAAATACACACTTCTGTAGACACAGGCACGCTATGAAGATGCTCACAGCATTATTTTAATTAGAAATTTCCCCTCTCTCCCCTCCACCTCTTTACTTTTACTTTAATACTTGTGCCATGTCTTCCAGTCCAAGACATTTTGAGCATTTGGGAATGTTCAAAATGTTTGAACACAGGGGCTGGAGCGATCGTACCGCAGGGAGTGCGCTTTCTTTGCATGCAGCTGACCCAGGTATGATCCTGGGAACCCCCGTCACTCTCCTGAGCCCCACCAGGAGTGATCCCTGAGCACAGAGCCAGGAGAAAGCCCTGAGCACTGCTGAGTGTGGCCAAAACATGAAACAAATAAAATATTCCGCAGGTTTTTGAATTTGTGCTGCTGTTAAAACAAACAAACAAACAAACAAACAAACAAAAAACCTTCCATTTCCTCCAGAATTCAATCCTGACTTGCTCATGCTTAGGTGGGTGAGGTGGCTGGTTTGGGGCTAATTACAGAGTGAGGTTCTCGGCACGGCCATGTGACAGATGAACGCATGTAGGAGATGCTGCTGGCCGGGCTGTGAGCTGCAGCAACTGTGAGCCCAGCCTCAGCGGGAGGGAGGAGGAGTTTTAGTCTCTGAGTATCTTGAATCTCCCTGCAAGGGCTGTCCAGCCACGAGTCACCGAGGCCAGAGGGCTCCAAGCTGATCTTGGGACCCTCTACAATTAAACAGTCCCCTGGCTTGGATATGCGTGAAGTCATCCAAGTCTCTCAGGGCAAAGTTGGCGGCTTCCATGTCACAGTCAGTGACCTCAGATGTGTCCGGAGATAACTTGGAGAGGCGGGGACCCGGTTTTACCAGAGGTGCCGTGTGCTCCAGGTGGAAACCAGGAGAAACAGCACCTATGTTAGGAGGCAGGAGATGCAGAGCTCTCAAGATGGATCAGAGAAGGCAAAGATCTATGGTCTAAGCAGGAACCCAGAGAGAGAGAGAGAGAGAGAGACAGAGACAGAGACAGAGACAGAGACAGAGACAGAGGGAGAGGGCGTGGTGGGCAGGGGATAGGCAGATAGGTGAATCCCAAGAGGGTTGGGGTGAGTGTTTAAGAAACTCCTGTTGAGCTCCCAGAAACCAATGGGAAAGATCCACAGGGACCATGAGTAGATGCCACCTACAGAAATGTGGGTGGGGACTGGTTCCTGTCCCCATGTGGGTCCCTGGCCGAAGGGATGAAGGGGGTGTGCGGGAAGTAGAGTCAGATAGTCAGACTCCACTAATGCCTTAATTTGTGTTTCTCTCTCTTAGTTTCATTCCCTTTTCATGTTGTGAACAAAACATTTAGCTCTGGCATAAATAAAGCTGGAGTGTTTTCCTGAAGTTTCTCTGAGACATATTCCTAAGCCCTGCAGGTCAAAGTATCTGCCAGAGGCCCTCTGAGCTCACCACTGGAGGCAAGGCCACGGGGGAAAAGGACGCTAACTTGGGGGAGGGGATCTGTATGTGGGAGAAAACTGGGTTGGATGTAAAAGTGAATATATTATTTTTGCTTGTTTTGCTTTAATTTTGATTTTGTTTCACATCTGGCAGTGCTCAGGGCTTACTTCTGGTTCTAAGCTCAGAGATCACTCCTGGGGGTGCTTAGAGGACCATATGGGATGCAAGGGATCAAAACCAGATCAGACACTTGTAAAGAAAATGCACTGTCCCTCCAGCCCTCGTCCCCAAAGAATATATTATTAACAAACATCATGAACACACATTATTTGCCCGTGTGTTATGGCTTCAGGCATTGTTTGATCAAGACACTCATGCCATTTCTCTGGGCCTTTTTTTCTTTGTCCTCACTGGAGCGTTAATTTCATGCTTAGAATTTCTCCTTGCATGTGTATAAGATGGCTTATAGCACTGACCAAGGTCCTGTGTTTCCTGAACTTCCACCAATATGAGAGACAGTGTCTACTTTGTAATCATCAACCATGTCCTGGGCTTCTTTCTGATTCTATCCATTGGTGTCGCATACCTACCAGCTGGCAGTGGTGAGAAATCATGGTGCATGAGTGTGTATATTTGTGTGTGTGTATAAATTTATTATAACATCATAGTTTACCAAGTTGTTCTTGATACAGTTGTTTCAGTATTACAACACCAATCTCTCACCAGTGTGTCCATCCCCCACCAGTCTCCCCAGTTTCCTACCCACCATGTGCCTTAGCAGGCACAAACAAATTTACTTCATATTGTTACAACACAAAGGCAAATGGAATTATCAAACCTAGATCCATGAGAGATACTTTGTGATAGTCGCTCCATATCACAGTGGTGTTGCTGAAGGTCATTGTCTGAGGATGCATGGACTAGTTGGTGCTGTTTGAGCCTTTTGGATTATTATTTTCATTCTTTGAGCTTGGTGGACTGCTACACAACTGTCCCATCAGATTTTCTGTGATCCCACTGGGCCGACAGCTCTGTGGGATCTGGAAGCGTAGCCTGCAGTCTAGGTCCACGTGTGGAGATCTGGAGCTGGAGGATTTGGCAGCTGAATCAGTTGTGGAGTAGGGCTGTTTCCATGCTGGGGGGTGTTGGGTGTAGCTGTGGGCTTCCGAGAAGGCCCAGAGTTGTCAGCCCGGGCCTGTCTACCTGGGAAAATTCAGCAACATCATGCTGTTTTTTGTAGCAGTTGTGGAGCTGGGCTGTTTCCCAGCCAGCATGAAGGCGGGTGGTGAGAGGTCATGGTTCTTATCAAATGCTCCTCGGGTCACAGGTAAGGACTTGAACTGACACTTTCTTTTTTAAATTTTTTTATTTTTTATTTTTATTTTTTATTTTTATTTTTTGAACTGACACTTTCAAAGTGGATTTCATTCTGGTTCCATCTTTGGAACAGGCTGATGACCAACCCGCCCTTCTTGTTCTTTTCCATTTAAGAAAATTGTCACCCACGCAGGATCTGGTTTCCTGGGTTTCCCAAGGCCTCCATGGAAGAGAAAACAGCTGCTTCCTGACAATGATAGTGCTAACAGACCCCATTAAGCCATAGATGTGCTCCCTGCCCATGCTCCACCATGCTAGGGAAGGACATAGGGGTGGATTGAAACTCCTACACCTACATTGCTCATGGAGAACAGAACAGGGGTTTTCCAGGGTCTTGCCAAGGGTCTTCCCAGGCCACGTTGAGAACTTGATTGTGTCTCCCTAAAACTCAGTGCTAAAGCCCAAAAGTGCATGCATGTATAAATTCTTTTGTGTGCACATGCGCGCATGTGTGTGCATGCACGCGCGCACGCACGCGCACACACGCGCACACACACACACACACACACACACACACACATAC